AAAATCTGATCAGCTCATTTTCAGACAGGTTTTTATAGAAATGGATCAAGACAAAAAAAGAGAGAATCTTTGTTCCTGAAACTTTCAGAGTCTCTTTCCACAGAGGGGACACATGTTGATGTAGGAGAGACATGAAAAGAGGGGACACATGTTGATGTAGAAGAGACATGAGGAAGAGGGGACACATGTTGATGTAGAAGAGACATGAAGAAGAGGGGACACATGTTGATGTAGAAGAGACATGGAGAAGAGGGGACACATGTTGATGTAGAAGAGACATGAAGAAGTGGATTTTACATAATAGGTGACCTTTAAGGAAAGGATCTGAGGCCTGCATAAAACGGGAAATGTTAACCTTTAATCCTGCCGTCGAAGTTGGGGTTGGTGGCGACCTTGAGTCCGGGGTGGGGCATCAGGAAGCAGGAGATGTTGGTGAAGCAGGAGTGGATGTGTTTACGGACGTTCTGCAGCTCCTCGTGCTGGTTCTCTGAGATCTGCAGCACACACACACACACACACACACACACACACACACACACACACACACACACACACACACACACACACACTTGCGTCAGGATTTAAGGCGATTGCTTAAAATGCATGTTATTAAGTGAAATCTGACCTTCAGTCTCTTCTCCAGGAAATTCATGCCTCCCTCCTGTCCGTAGGGAAACTCGTAGGGAAAGCTCCAGTCTCGAACCAGGAAGATCATAGACTAAAACCAAAAAAGTATCATTTTTAAATGTCATTTCCTGACACTCGGATGCAGTCAGCACATTAAAGAGAGTGGAAAGGATTGAGGTACCTGAAAGGGCTTGAGGAACGTCTCCTCCATGGCTAGTCTGCCGTACTCAGTGAAGAGCTGGAGGAACACAGATAAGACAGTCAGTTTTATTAAACATCAAAGTGAACCTTAAAGGGACAGTCTGGATGTTTTGAAGTGTGGTTTTTGTGTATTTTAACTACTTTATCTTGTATTCAGACTGTCCTTCTGATGTTATGCATGCTCTCTTGAAAGCCACCAGACTCCATTGACAAAACCACTCATTTAAACTGAACAGAAATAAGGAGTTTATGGTGCAGCGCTGCCTCTGTCTGTTAGTTAGTTTGTGTTATTGTGTGTCTTCGGTGCATCCAAACCAACACTTTGATTCACCACGGTCACACAATAACACTAAATAACTTACCAATCATTGCAGCGGTACACCAGCAGCTCCTGTGTTGGGTCAGGTTAAAATGACTGTTTTGTGAATGGAGTCTGGTCGCTTCGTCTAACAGAGTGTTGACTTGAACTTAAGTTGATTTATTTAGGTGAATACACTCTTCAAAACATACAAACTACCCCTTTAAGAGTCTATGGGAGCACATTCATCCAGTATGTGGGTTTGTTTGGTGTTTATTTCACACTATAACTGCAATGGTGTTGTCATTTTTACCTGCAGGTGCTGAAGGTCGTCTTCTTGTACATTCTGTGAGATGTTGTAAACCTGAAAAATAACAATTATTATAGTATAATAACTGTCACCTGGTTATATATTTGTATCTATTGAATGAAGAGTGAAACAGGAACATAACGGTACTTAAAAGTACATATAAAAAATACAAAGCTAAACCAATATGTACAACAAGAAAAAACTATAAAATGTGAAGAAATGCTGGAGAAACTATGTTCAAGAAAAATTATTTCGAAAAGATGAAATCTACAATAACATACTAAAACAAAATGTGAACATATGTACAATATATGGGAATGGTGTCCAAAGATTGTGAACAGGTTTACTAAAAATGTCGACCTCTTGGTGTCGCTAAATGAAAGGTCAGGCAAGCATCATTACACAATGTTTTGTGTCGATCCATTAAATAGAGACATCTCAGTCCGGTGTTGTAATGACGTACCAACTCCTAAATGTACAAACCTATATTCAATCAGATAAATCAAAGCATCCTCTCCTGAGGCGAGGCGTACCTGCATGGAGCTGATCATGGTGCTCAGAGCGAACACGGTGGCCGAGTCTCTCAGAGTCGACTGGCTGTCAAACGTTCCCTGAGTGTCCATCAGCAAAACAGCCACCTGAGGAGGAGCATACATAGAAATGATATATATAATATACATACATTTAAATAAGCCCCAAATTTAACAGCTGTAACAATAAAGATGTGGACATTAATAAATCAATAATAGTGATCCAATGTCATAACAAACATTATGCTAAAATGGATCATTAAGTTATTTTACATTTAGTGCTTTAGGATATTTACATATATTTATTTTTTCCTTTGATTTGGTTAAGCTTTAAGTATGTTTTGATGATCTTACTTTTCTACTTTAATATACTTTATTTAATTCCTGAGTTCTTCTTCCACTTCTTCTGCATGTGGCTGATGCAGGTGTAAAACAGGTGTTTCAATGTAAACATGTTTTCCTTTAAATGTGGTTTGATTTGGAGCTTCTGAGCTATAAGGTGAGAAACAGACCTGTTGCAAAGATCTTAAAAGGTATTGCATAAAGGATGAATTGAAGTGTGTCAAATGTAATGTCTCATTGTCCCTCTTGTGTTTAATGGCCTCCTCTCTGCAGGATGTATCCGGTCTTCACCTTGGTGCCGTCGGGTTTGTCCACCAGGAAGACTTCGCTCCAGATCTGGATCCCGGTGGTCTCTCTCTCGGACCCCCCCCTCCAGGAGAAGCCGGTCAGAGGCTCGTCTGCAACGCCCAGCCAGCCCTCAGACGCCTGCACACATTTATTCATTTCATTTACTCTCAGTCAATTGAAATAAATATTTGTCTAGGAATACATGCATGAAAAAAAAGACAATTGTTTGCATTTTTTTCATTTATTTAGCTTTTATTACTTTGTTAAAACATTTTTTTATTTAGAGATAGTTTTTGTGTAAAAATAATAAAATTAAAATAATGATAAAAACAATAAAATAATAATAATATTAATTTAAAAATAATAATGCAAATAATAAATACATCATGCCAGATCTTACGTGGTTGTACATGTAGCGCAGCATGAAGTCCATGAGGAAGGACTTGCCCTTCCGGAAGGCTCCGGCCACAGAGATGGCGACCACTTCTCGGTCCCGGACCTCGGCGCTCAGCAGGATCCGGCTCAGCGCTGCCTCGTCCAGCTCGAAGGTGTGGTCGTCCTTCACCAGCAGGACTTGAATCGGCCGCGCCCGTCCGTCAGGCTCCTCCTCCTCCGAGCTCCAGTCGTACACCGGCTTGTCGCTCAGGGACCCTGTAGGACAACACGGAGAGATGATGGCTTAAAGGTCCCCTAATATACTGTTTTTCATCAATATATTATAGGTCTCAGATATATACAGAGCATGTCTCTGAAGTGTTTGGCTCCAAACACCAAACGGATCATTGCAGCATTACCCATAATCCCCTCTGTTTCAGCCCTGTTTCCAAAGTGCTGATTCTCTGTCTGTTACTTTAGATGAAAATAAGGAGCCCCTCCCCACGCCCCTCTGAGAGACATTTGGTTAAAAAGAACACAATAGTGCTCTAGGAGGAGATTTAGGTGATAAGGTGGGGGGGTATCTTGGTTGGTGATTGGCTAATGGTTACAGAAGACAAAACATCGTTATGACATCATAAAGTGGCCAAAATCTGATCAGCTCATTTTCAGACAGGTTTTTATAGAAATGGATCAGGACAAAAAGAGAGAATCTCACATGTTGATGTAGAAGAGACATGAAGAAGAGGGGACACACATTGATGTAGAAGAGACATGGAGAAGAGGGGACACATGTTGATGTAGAAGAGACATGAGGAAGAGGGGACACATGTTGATGTAGAAGAGACATGGAGAAGAGGGGACACATGTTGATGTAGAAGAGACATGAAGAAGAGGGGACACATGTTGATGTAGAAGAGACATGAAGAAGAGGGGACACATGTTGATGTAGAAGAGACATGGAGAAGAGGGGACACATGTTGATGTAGAAGAGACATGAAGAAGAGGGGACACATGTTGATGTAGAAGAGACATGGAGAAGAGGGGACACATGTTGATGTAGAAGAGACATGAGGAAGAGGGGACACATGTTGATGTAGAAGAGACATGAGGAAGAGGGGACACATGTTGATGTAGAAGAGACATGAAGAAGAGGATTTTGCATAATAGGTGACCTTTAATATAACGTGTTTGTGTTGTCTTTTGATTCATGCATGTGTGGATTATGAGACCAATAATGGACCCCTGGGATCAGTCATGCAAAAGGCCCTATTACCTCTACTACATATGAACCAGAAACACACACTTTTGGTTGTAGTTTTGGGTCTATTTATGGCCATTTTTTGTGACTCCTTAAGTTCATTTTGCCTCTGTGGTCATTATGAATCTTATTGATATAGAAGTGCCGGGGGAATTACAATATATTTAAAATGTTTTACTGTATTTTGTTGCATCCATGTGTGGATTTTGAGACCAATAATAAGCTTTTATTCCTCCTATACAAAACCACTTCTAATTTGCACTGGAAAGTCGATTAAAATCAAATCATATGAGCGGATGATCTTCCAGAACTCCTCAGTGGTGAGAGGGAAACTGAGCGGTCCATTAAGCTGACAGGAAACAGGAAGTTGAGTCCATTACTCCTTCCTGTTAGCAGCAGATTAATAGCATTGCATGAAACCTTGTTAATACTAATAATAATGAATCCTGCCATGAAGTCCTGTGTGTGTGTGTGTGTGTGTGTGTGTGTGTGTGTGTGTGTGTGTGTGTGTGTGTGTGTGTGTGTGTGTGTGTGTGTGTGTGTGTGTGATGAGATCATTCAGAGCTCTTCCTGTGTGTTTAGTGGCACAGTGTGTTGCCGTTATGCAGAGCTTCTCGATGTAACCGAAGTACTCAGATATTTAAATTAAGTAAAAGTATCTTTATTATAACTATAATACACCACTGTATACGTTTCAATGTACACCTTTTACACATTTATTTGTAGTACAATATGCACATTTTAAATGTAATGTATTATTTTCATTTAAATATTTGTATTCATCCTTTCATTAAACATTTTCTTCTTGTGTATTTATAGATATTGTGTAACGTTTTTGAATCAACCCCCCTAAGATAAATAAGAAATGTATTTGATAAATGCAGTTTAAAAAAATTAAACAAGGAGCTTAATCACAGACTTTACCGCTTTGAAAATGGTACATTTCTTGGAGAGAAGAATGAAAGTGATCAGCAAGATATCACATATTTGCAGCCTCATCAGAAAATGACTGATTTTGCTTTTGGTAAATTTACAAATAGTGAAAAGAGTATGTGATGTTCATTCTGAGGCATCTTACATTTGACCAAGGCCATGTGACAGATTAGCTGGTCACATTTGCGAGCTAAAAGATTAATGCAGGATGCCAAGAAAGCACGTCGGTGAATAATTGAAGGAGGAACCAGCAGCCAAGGTTCCTGTCAGTTTGAGTTCACTTCTCCTGCAGAGGCCTCACCCTTCGCCGGCTCAACCTGACGATACTGCTGTTGCTCCTGCTGCTTCTCCAAAAGCAAGCCAAACACGTCTGCTAAAAGTGGGTCAAACCAGATCATCTCTATAATAACTAAACAGCTGCATTAACACATTTTCACGTAAATGTAACCAGTCAATTTCCCTCATCCTGCAGGACTGGATGTGAAGTAACACAGAGGCATGATACATACCTGGATACTGATCATAGCATTCAAGATTAGTATTGATATGGAGATAATAAGGGCTATTTCCTGATGCATTATTACATAATGTAATGCTAAGTGCAGCACAGAGCATCATAGGAGGCTCAGTATGACAAACACAGTGAAATCAGAAGGTTATTGGCAGGCCTTTTGGGGCCTGGACCGCCCAAACAGAGGCTTACCTGCATGAAAAAAGCACCACTACAGGCTATAATGCTGGAATGGTCTGCTCGTTTATGCATATTAGCTCGAAATGCATGCAGGGACAAATAGGGGGTAAAATAACAACAGGGGTTATATTATTATTATTAGTATTATTATTATTATTATTATGGGTTTGAAATAAAAACAAACAGGTCGTAATTTGACTGAGAAACAAGACTGTAATGGAGGAATCTGGAGTAAACATATAATTGGCTGCATTGCTTACACGCCTCGACAGGAATAAGAAAAAATGTACGTCAAGGAGAGAATAAAAAAACGGAATATTTGTACGTACACTCACCCCAGCTGTCTCTCTCTTTGCGGTGTTTAGCCATGTTCCTGTCCTTTATATCCCTGATGTGTTTGTGCGAGAATCAGCGACCCTACTCGGTATTCATGGGTGTCTTAGGGCGGGGAGGATGCTCATCTCCTCCGGAACGATGCTCGATGCTCCGAGGAGGATGATGGAGCTTTTTATTCCTTCAGGATCTCATGCGTGCAGACAGGGGGCGCTGCTGTCTGTTGTTCCTGCTAATGGAGCAGCCTAATAATGCAGGACAATTACTTGTGGTTCAGAGGGAAATGTACTCAAAAGACTGCAACCGCTGCGTATGTAAGGTATGTTTGCAATGCAAGTCTTTTATTGACGCTTGTGTGAGAACGAAATACCATTTGTCGTCAGCAGGTGGCGGTAGGGACAAAGAGAATAAGGACTACGTGCTGCCTTCAAGGTCAGTCGTAAATATCTACACTAAAACAACATTTATGAATACACTAAGATTGATGGAAGCTGTTTACTTAGCATTTTGGTTTTTCAATGTGGAGCAATTAAAAATTGTCAAAATTCTGATAAATGTCAGCATTTGAGAAAAAAGTAAAAACCCGAAAAAAGTAAAAATTCTGTGAATATAGTAAAACTATCTGACAAAATAGTCAAAATATGAACAGAGTAAACATTCTGGAAAATGATGTGAGAAAAGTCAAATATCAGAGAAAAAAGTAAAAATTCTGAAAAAATAAAAATTCAGTGAAAAAGGGAAAAAACCTGAAAAAGTAAAAATTCAGATTTTTTTGGAAAAAAAAAGCAAAATTATGTGAAAAAAAAAAAATTCTGTCAAAGTTACATCATAACACAGTTCTTTGATTTGGCTACTTATGCATCAACATACAGTAAACAAATAATGCACTTCATATGGTCAATCTAGGCTTTTCTGTTAACTATAGCTGTCATACAAACATTTGAGTAAAAAGTAAAATATGTTATTTTTCTTAGAATGAAGCAGGAATTGTATATACTTGAAGTTCTTAAGTTATTATAGTACTCCAACAAAAAGTTGGTGCATAATCATTTACATAAAATAAAATCACTGTTATGGTGCAGCTGAGCCGCACATCTACATTAGCATTTGTACATGCTTTGATAAAAAAAACAATCATTGCTTTATTAAAGTTATTTGTATTTAATGCTAGAATTCCTGCTGAGCATGAAGGAGACGGAGCCTTCTTCTTCTTCTATTGTTTTATTAACAGTAGCTTGCATCCATGACGTTGATTTACTGCCCTCTAACGGTTCCTTCACTCCCTACAGGTTTCAGAGTTAGAGACGGAACAGCAACTGAAGTTTATCTCTGTTTCCTCGCCAACAAAGAGGGACGCTTTTCTTCTGTTTTTGGACTTGTATTCGACGCCATCGCACGTGTTAAAAAGTTGAAATGCAAGGCGTTGTCGTCCACGGTGTCTGCATTGTGAAAGGTGAGTGAAAGTTAGGGGCGAAGCTAAATTATCTCGCTAGCTGTTAGCTTAGCCTGGATGCTAAGCCTGTCTAATAGTGACATTTGGATCAGGCTATTTGCTGGAATGACCCCCAGTGTCAAGCCTGTCTGTTAGTAATATTTGAATCAGGCTATTTGCTGGAATGACCACATATTCATTGCTAACTCAAGCTAATGTTGTTTTAGTGGGCAGGACGAGCTCTTAATAACTTTAATTTGAGTTTACGATAAATTAAATTCCTAGGTTATGCTGATGTTGTTGTTGGGTGACATGTCATGGTTTGCAGAGGTGGAAGAAGTACTCAGATATTTTACTGAAGAAAAAGTAACAATACTAAATTGTAAAAATACTCTGTAACAAGTACGCATTTTCCACAATGGCCCAAAAAAAACCATTACGTTATTGTTTTATCAATATTAATGCATTAAAGACACTTGGTAAAAGTGGGGATTATTTGAATCTCTTTGTGTACTGCTGGGTAGCTTGACCCTAAATGCTTTATTGATGGATTTATATTCTGTAATATAAATCCAAATGCAAAGTAGGGGGGAACATGTAGTGGAGTAAAAAAGAAACAATGCCTCCAAAATGTAGTTAAGTAAAAGTAAGTAAGGAGGAAAATACTCAAATGAAGTACACGTACCTCAAGTATTGTACTTATCCACCACTGATGGTATGTAACACAGTCCCTCTTAGATGAATTTAAGGTAAGTGTGTGTCAACGTTGTGTCACCATTACACACGTTCTTACTACTTTGTTCCAGATTTCACTAAAAGTTTAAAGGTATTAACAGTATCCTAGTTTAAGTATGACAGTACAACTACAGAAAGTTATATCATTATTAATGTGTCATTTACTAAAGCTTCACTTAAACTAAAGCAGCATTTCCATGTCATGTTAAATCTTAATTTGTAAAGTAACTCCAGATGTAAAGATGGAGTATAAGTATATAGTGGCATATAATTGAAATACTTGTATAACCAGTTGTGTAGGAGCTACTTTTATCTTGTGCTTACTGTTCTGCAAAAGGAAAGGTACAATATGAAATCTTGATCTTTTGTAAAAGTGCAAATATATTAACAGCAAAATGTAAAGTGCAAAAAGAAGAATGGCTCCTTTCAGAGAGTAACATATCCTTATACAAATCATAATTCTAATGTTTTAACATGTAATACGCATTTCTATGTGTGTCTGATAGTTGAATCTATATCACAGCTTCATATTTAAGAAGTTGACATGTTTGGTTGTAAACATCTTTATCTGTCAGAAGGATAATGTAATGCAGTAAAATGTGCAGTGTTTGTCTCTGAGGTGGAAGTACAGAGCAGCATACAATTGAAATACTCATGTCACCAGTTGTGGATGAAGTACTCGTATGTTTTTATTGTAGTAAATATAGCAATACTCCTCTGTAAAAGTGCTATGTTAGAAGTACATAGAAGTACTACAAGTTCATTTTTTTACTTACAACATCCATGTCCATAGCACAGTATCGTATCATCTTGTTTAGTATGTAAAACAAGAATCTCCTGTACATGTATTCCAGCTGTTGAATATATGTATTGCCTCTGAGATGTAGTGAAGATTAAAGTGGCATAAAAAGGAAATACTCGAAATTGTACTCAAATACAGTAGTTGAGTAATACATGTTTTTGGCTACTTTCCACGTTTAATGTCAGGTTTTCTTAACACTTTTCCACCAAATCTTCAATCCATCAAGTGATCAGTTTAGTATAAGCAGTAAAAGTTCAATGTTTTACTGACAACGTCCATGATGTCCATAGCACAGTATCGTATCATCTTGTTTAGTATGTAAAACAAGAATCTGTACATTGTTTCCAGCTGTCGAAAATATATGTATTGAAGTAAAAAGTACATTATTAGCCTCTGAGATGTAGTGAAGATTAAAGTGGAATAACAAGGAAATACTCAAGCACCTCAAAATGGTGCTCAAATACATGTTTTTGGTTACTTTCCACCTTTTTAATGTCGGGGTTTTCTTAACACTTTTCCACCAAACCTTGTCTCTGCTTCAGGACATGGAGCACGGAGGAGAACCGCCTGAGTCTCAGTGATTAACTCATACATTCAGGACTTCATCAAACCCCATCGGCCTCAGATTGGATTAACTCAATGTGAAGCAGCGTCTGGTGGAAAGCGAGCATGGATATCTACCCCCGGCCCAGCGGAGAGATCCAGAGGAGGAACCCTCAGCACGACTTCGAGCTCCTCCAGAGGGTGGGCAGCGGCACGTATGGAGACGTCTACAAGGTACAGAGAAGTCGTTAGAGCTGCTGATGTGTGGCTTCAACGTCACGTGACTACGAGCGCTGTTTGTTTTCAGCCGTGATAACATGTGGCTAACACATTTGGCAGTAGCTGTTGAACTAGAGCCAGGTTCCTTCATGCTTTGTTACAGCCTTCTGCTGCTACTTAAATATACTTATTATTAGCAGGATAAGCTGCCGTTGACAGCACATAAGGGTTGGATTCATACTGTTACTCATCTGACAAAACTGTTCCATGAAAAAGTTAATTAAGAGTGAGATATAACACAATTATTAGTTGATCAAAAGCAAATGGAGCTGCAATGAAAGGTAATGAGCAACAGAAATGCTGTTCAAGTCTCTCAAACCTGGAGATTAGCTGTGTATATCTGTTTTATATCATATAACAGTGAATATATTTAGTTTTTAAACTGGTAAAACAACACATTTAAAGACCTCACCTTTAACATTTGAAGTATGATGGACATCTTTTAACTTTTTTGGACATTTTATACACTAAACTAGAGTGATTGATATTAAATTGAATCGTCCTGCAGCCTTAAAAAAAAAAAAAAAACATAGTTATTGATTCATTTATTCAGTCAAATGCCAAATCTTTGCTGGTTCCAGCTTCAAAATAAAACCACTTCTCTGGTCACACATGACAGGAAATGAACTGTGTTTGTGTTTCGGACTGCGGGTCATGCACAAGGAATTGTCTCTATCTTTTGAAATGTTATAAACGATTAGTGAATATTAGGGCTGAAACATTTGGAGTGAATGTGTAATCAAGATTATTTTTGGACTGATATTGCAGTTGCTATATGAGTCACGATATTGGAGGTAATTCGTTATTAGCATTTCCATTGCAACATATTTATTACAAATAATCATTGTGACACTTGTCAGCTTTGCAGGATCAACCTTTTAGAAGGTATTTTGACACGGGCAGTCTTTAACACATACCATTTGGATAGTAAGTGCGATATCAATCAAATTCCCATAAACCGTTTAGACTTGTCTGTTAAGCAAGAATTAAGTCTGCAGATTATTATATTATAAAGAATAGTTGCAGTTCTAGTTGTTTCCCTCGTGATGCAAGCTGCGTTACAGTTAATTAAATACTTTCCTTAAACCCGTTTGACCGAGAGATTAACAGTGACTGCTTGTCCCTGCTTGCCCTTTTTACCCACAAAACGTACTGTTTTCGTTCCAATTCTTAGTATAAAAAAAGCATGGATAAAAGCATGGATATTGGCTTACAATCAGTTATCGAGTCATTTTATATGAAGCCATAATCAGGAGTCTTCAAAAGTATTCAAAGTTGATAAATCAATTTAGCGAAAATGAAGGCAATTAAATGGCATTTTCCAAGATATTACATTTTGTAGCTTGTTTTCAATAAGTATATAAATGGTCCAAAGAGGTTGTATTTTACAGTCTGCCTGAATGTAATCATTGCGTAGGTGTGTAGTGTGATTCTATATAGTTTATTTATGGCATCCCGTTGGGTTTGACG